AAAACAGGAACACCTGTACAGTGTAATGTAATCCACTATATTGTCACTTCTCTGGAACATTTTGTTGTCAGACAGTTTTTTAATTTTAGAGTGAGTAATTGAGTATGTTTAAGAAAACATTTTAAGAGCAAAAAGGAAAGAAATTTCAAGTCAATTAAACAGAAAACTCAAACTGCCCAAACTGAGACAAATGATTTAGTCTCATCCAGGTACATTTTAGGGACCGTGGCACAATAACATCTGAACAACTGTCTTAACTAATATAATATTCATAGGTATGTTTTCATTAAATTTATATACATTTATGAAATATAATCTAGGAATCACTGTGTTTTCGTTATCTTAGAATGAGCCGTTTATATCTACAGACCGTCCATGGAGCACACCACATTGAACCACCATGTTTTATGAGCGTTTTACAGACACCGTAGTTTCTCTTTTACTCTGAGAAGGGGAGGGTGATGCGACAGAGTTTCAATCTGTGACTACACCACTAGAGGCCAATAAATATACACACTGGACCTTTTATATGTGTTTGTATCCCTAAAGTTAGAATTAATTGTTTTAGATTTGATTCCCTAGCAGTGAATTAATTAAATTAAAATTATTATTTATGTACAGGCTTTCATACTTTTCACCTTCTTCTGTCTCTTAGTGGTAAGACGGAGTATCAGGCCACTCATGGAGGCAGACTGAGGAGAGCCAGCACATTCGAGCGAAGGCCGAGCAAGAGATACCCCTCCCGCACACACTCACTGGGCAAAGGTGAGACTTATCAGCACATACAAATGACTAACAGCACCAGTTCAACCCTCCATGTGCCTGCGAACGTTACCATGAAGGTTACATACTGTTTTAATGCATTGCATTGAACAAATTATGTTTTGAAGGGGAAAGGAAAAGATGCAGCCTGTAAAACTGTCAACTCCCTTCCAAAGGGTTTCCCCTAAAAATGTCTGTAATTAAATTGTCATTCAACAGGTTTAAAAAAATGTAAAAACAGCTTTGGTTCTTTTTAAAGAAAGTGCTCCAGATTCTTAAGCCAGGTTGTTACTTTAAGTGTCACCTTTCTGCTTTGTCAAACGCACCTGCCGTACTCTTCACTCCTCCATACTTCCCACCCTCTGCACACAAGCTTCTATCTCCCCATAATCTATTATACATGAATGAATGGTCGAGGGCGGACTGCAAACTGTATTTACTTCAAGACTGTCAGTGTTGACCTCCACACACCTTTTATTTATTGAGTGGTTTGACATTCAGCCCTGCAATAAAAACATTAAATGATGATTCAAGTGTTGGTAATAGTTGAGCATCCGAGCAATAGCATGTATGCAAAAAGTCTGGACTGAGAAACTAGATGGATTAACTCCTTTGTATAAATAAATGAAGATACAATGTCCTGCTCCTCTGCAATTTCTTGTCTAACTGACATCATGTCTCACTCTGTCAGCTGCCATTTCCCCAGCCAAGCCACCACATATCAGGTAAAACACCCACAAATAACACATAATACACACATGCACATTCATATTACTGTACTTGAGAGGACATTCCATTTATTACGTTCATTCCTTATCCTCTAACCTTGGCCTTAATCCACATAACAGCCTGGATAATCTGAACTCTAACACTAAAATAGCCCTTTGTAAAAGAGAAAAAGACGTAAAAATTGTTGTCAGTTTTTAGGTTTTCGTCAACTTTTGCAAAACAAACACATAAAGAAATCAATGCTTCTGTTAGTTGTTTTTAATCTGCTATCAGTGATTACTGTCATTCTTTCCCAGCTCTCGCGCCAGCCCTGATCCCAGCCTACATCCAGTGAGTGACCTCAGATAACCCACTTACACACACACACACACATGCAGCTGCCACTGATCTGGCTTCGCCGTTGTGACAACATTTAATTTCAGCGTCCCTTCAATCCTGTCTCCTCTCCTCCCCTCCAGTACCAGCACAACATTCCTATTGGTCACGAGCCCTGGCACCCTCCCCACCCAGCTCTCACACCCCCAGTTTACCTGCAGCCCTCCGGACACACGCCATCACACAGGTAAGACCACCGACCGCAGAGGACGCAGAGAGCAGTGTTTTAGAGGTGAACTTGCTTCAGGGTGATGATGTGTGACCATCAGTCTTTGGGGTCCTTGATTAGAAATTTACAGGAGGGCAAGTTTCTATTTTTAAACAAAGTCGCTCATCTGGCACTCTGTGTTCAGTACTCCACATTGTCTGTTTTTCATCACACTTCATGCCACTCATAAACCTCATATGTGTTTGTCTGGCTGTGTGTCTGTATGTGTGTGTTTGTGTGTGGGTGTTGTCCTCCATCTCCCCATCATGTTCAGGCCTTTTGTCGAGGCTGCGAGTCCCGTGTCCGGTCATCATCCCGTCCCGGAGCGAACCAGCGGCACTTTCCCAGGATCCATCAGTGTGGTTTACAGGGACAAGGTCATGACTGCGCTTTGACCTCTGTTTGACCCTGGGAATCTGTTTGAAATTCAGACTTACACTCAAACTTACACAGACTGGTGTCCGGAAGAGAGAAGCTCTGTGGATGGACTCGGCAAAGAAAAAAATTGTCTCCATTATCCTCATCACCTCTGTCATCATCCTTTTGTCTCATCCCCTCATGTGTTTCAGCGTACACCTTCATGAAATATCCCAAAAAGGACAAAGGACCTTATCCTATAGGTCAGGAGACTGTTAACGCTTCCACAGGGGGTGGGGGGGTTGGGAGAGCTGAAGGGGGAGGCCCAGAGGGAGAGGCAAAGATACTGTGTGAGGACAAAGGGACTGGAAGATATTGACGTTCTGAAAACAACAGGGAGTTATTTATTGTGGTTCAACCTGCTGATTTGGCCCGCTTATCAACACGGTCAATAACCCTCACCGCCCCTGACTGCTGCAAATTGCACCAAAAATTACACTCCTTCTTGGGGTCATAACTTAGTCAGATCTGAACACATAGACATAATACAGACATACTTAGATCTAATGACACTTTAGGATATCATTACGTCTGATGTCTATTGCCAATAAACTTTCATAAATCTGATTAGAAATTGTAGGAAAAAGATTCTTCAGAATTTAAAGTTTCCTTCAAGTAATCAAAGTAATTCAGTAGTTGTCTGTACATCCATTGGTACATGGCAAACAAGACACTTTTAATGGTTCAAATTTGCCAAAATGTAAACAATTATAGCCTTAAAAAGCCATGTTGTAGCCCACAGCTAACTCACTGACTCCATAATAATGATACTTCATGTTTTCAGACCCCGCTGCCACGAAATTATGGAAAATATTCCAAAGATTACAGCATGATCATCCCGGATCTCAGAATATCCCATCATCCATATTCCTCAAACACTGACACTCTCCTCTATCCATTCATACACAGATACACAGTGTCATACTCTGCAGACCCATTACAGACTAAAAGACAAAGATAATTTTGTGCCTTGGTTTTCTTGTGGACATTTTAATGTAATCACGGTTGGTGTTTTGATTGCTCAATATGTTTACTGCAACATCTCATTACCTGTATCCTCATGCCTTAGAAATCTTGTGACAAGTAATTTATCCAAATCACTCTTAATTTAAGTGAGATAAAGTGATGTGAGTGCTGAAATAAGTAATTGTCAACAGGTGGAAGGGGTCGAGTTAAGCACATATTTAATGCTGGTTTAGGGATTAAGCTGCTTTAAAACATATAGTGTTTAGTTCAGTGTGAAATACAAGCATAAACTAGAATCCTGCATATATAGTGTTGTGCTTTTAAAGTGATGTTTTTGAATAAAACTTTACATTCTTTTCGCAGGTTATGGATTTGCTAAATCAACCAACTGTTTACAGATAATGTGGCCAATGTTTTTGCTGTTATAGTGTGATGCCTTTAACTCTTAACAGTTACTTGAATCACATGATGCCTTTAGGGATAATGCCATATTGCTTTTTAAATAAACAAATTGTTTATAATTGCAAAAAGATTCAAAGAGCTGTCCTTCATTGTTTAGAACTTAACCAACTTGTTATCATATATATATATATATATATATATCAATTATTTATTTGGAGTATTACAGTTTTAGAGAAATCGAGGATGCATTTTGTTAGCGGGAATTTGTTTTGATTGCGTGTATCGTCTTCAGTTTCCCTCTGAGTGGTCCTGCTTCAGACCATCAGTTCAGCATTGAAGAGAATGAGACTTCGTATTCTGGCAAGATCCACCACCATCACCGTCGCCACACACACAGCCAGGAAACGCTCTGCCACACACACACCAAGAACAGTGAGTACTCTCAGCCCGAGGGAGAGCTATCCAAACACTGTCTGTCTGCAAATCTGTGATATGTCTAGGCTGTACGGTGATGCTCTTTTCATGTTCGTTGCTGCGTGTTGATCATCAAATCACACACAAGCCCAGTTTCCACCTTGAAGGATAGATTCACCATTTTCAAGTCAAATCCACAAAGTCTTTGTTCTTTGTTCTGTCTAAAAATGTATTCCAAAGTTTATTGGAAGATATGAGGTTTCTGTTATATAAATTACACAAAGCAAGAGGGTATCTTTGAAACTTACATTCTTTATAGTATGGAGTTCCCTTTATGTATTTCCTTGTTAAGATTAAGATTAAGATTAAGATATACCTTTATTAATCCCCGTAGGAGAAATTCAAATTACACAGCAGCATTGGGGAATATAGTGCAATAAAAAGGGTACAGTGTACATACAATCTTATCGCAATAAGAATATTACAAAATCTAATATATGAAACTATAAATGAAAACTGTATATGCTAAATGCAATGTGCAAGTAGATTGGTGTGCAAAATATTTTAAGCAGCTTGTCTAAAAAAAAAACTAAACTGTACATTTGCAATTTAAGGTAAATAATTTTAATTTTAAGACTAACCAGTCTTAGTCAGCGGGGGTTGGAGGTACTGGGTGCTGTGGTGTTGTAGAGTCTGATGGCCGATGGTACAAACGAGCCTCCAAACTGCTTTGAGGCTCGGGGCTGGATCAGTCTGTGGCTAAAAGTGCTCCTGAGCTGCCTCAGCTCAGTGTAGAGAGGATGAGAGGGGTTGTCCATGATGGCTTTTAGCTTCCCTCTCATCCTCTTCTCAGTCACAGCCTCCACACTGTCCAGCTCCATCC